GGTCCGCCGGCAGAGTGGGGCCCCCTCGGAGGGACTTTCAGGAGGGCTTTGACCAGCCACTGGCGAAGGAAGGGGAAAGATAGTGCCGAACACTTTGTCAGAGAGGTCTCGCACGGCCCAACCCGCATGGCGGGAGCGGCCGGATCCGTAAGGGCTTCGCTCTCTGCCGCCGGCCCCCTCGCTTGGATCATGGGCAATGCAAGAGCGAAATCATGAGGCCTTGGCGCCGCCGTGAAGCGTCGGCAAGAGAAATTGTGACTCTGATGAGATTGTTGAACTCAATGTTTCGGAGACGCGAATCTTCAGTAAATTGCGAGGGTTTCTGGTTTCCTGGCCGAGATTACAGCGTAATTTGCGAGAGCTTTTGGTTTCGGGGACGCGAACATAGCGTAATTTAAATGCAATTTACAAGCGATGACGGCTTCGGAGACGCGAATGTAAGGTAATGTTTAAGTTTTTTTACTTCGGACTCGCGCATATTGCATAATTTGCAAGGGTTTATGGCTTTGGGGACGCGAGTATGGCGTAAGATACGCAGGTTTATGGCTTCGGAGACGCGACGATTGTGTAATCTACGATGGTTTATGGCTTCGGACACGTGTTTGTTATGTAATTTTCAAAGGTTTATGGTTTTTGGGTCGCAAATGTTGCATCATTTACGCAGGTTGATGGCTCCGGAAACGCGACTATAGCGTAATGTATAAAGGTTTATGGCTTCGGGGATGCGAGTGCGGCGTGATTTGCAAGCGTTTGTGGCCTCGGGGACGCAAGCATGGCGTAATGTACAAAGGTTTCTGGCTTCGGAGACACGAGTACGGTGTATTTTGCGAGGGTTGATGGGTTCGGGGACGCGAATATTTTGTAATTCGCGAGGGTTTATGGCTTCTGGGACGCGACTACTGTGTAATTTATGCAGGTTGATGGCCTCGGGGGCGCGAATTTCACATACTTTTACGCATCCCACGCCCCCTTAGAAATTCTGAGAACCTTCCAAGGAGACGCCAACCAAGGCACTTTTCGGCTCCCCCCCCTCGCGCGGTCCATCAACAAGGAACAGTAAGCAGCATGCAGCAATACTGTAACACTGGGAACTGGGAACTGGAGCTGGTGCAGGGAACAGCAAACCCTGGTCCTACAGCCTGGTGGCCCCACAAGGGGGCCAGCGGATTTTTCCCGAGTTACGTCCGCGTGTTTTTGGGTGCTGTCGAGAGGCTTTGGCGCACGGCGTTCAGATGGCGCAGCCGCTTTCCCGCCGTGGGGCCACCAGAGGGGTGACAGCCTCAGGCTCCACGCGCACCGCGCACATCTGAAAAACAACCACTGGTCACCACACCACACGCTGACTACCCCATGCGCTCTGCGCGCCGTGTGCATCGTAGACTCAGAGGAGGAAAACGTACGGGTACTGCTGCTCTTGCCTCGTTTTCGCTGTTTAGGGCTTCCTGAGAACCCCTCGTCGCCACCGCTGGTTTCGCCTCGGAATCCCGGTCAGAAACGCGTTCCAGGAGAGGTCCAGAGAGTAGTGGTATCGGTATTTCTTGGTCTCCCCAGAAGTGCCTCCAACTGGGGAATCGGTTTCGGTTATGATTCGTGTCGTCGGTATGGTCGAGGCAAAGCTGCACAGGGCCGACGATGCGTCGGCCGAGGCTGGGGCCATGCCGGCCAAACAGTGTCCCTGCGTGCGTCGCGGGGGCCCGCGTGGTTGTTTTCTACGGGGATGTCCCGTGGGTTGTCCCGTGGTTGTCCCGTGGGTTGTGTCGTTGGTTGTTCATCGGATTTCCCGCGGTTGTCCTGTGGTTGTCCCATGTGTTGTCCCAATTCACATCAAAATTCAAACCGAGTTGCACATCGGATTGTCATTCGAATATCCAGTACGAATGCAAATAGACATGCACACGGAAAGGCACATCCAATTACACAACGGAGTGCACGCCGGAATGCAGATCGAATTGCGAATCGAATCGACATCCAAATATGATTCGAATTGCAAATCGAAGTGCGAGTTCCTCGCCGCTCGGATCTCCTCACCCGAAGGGTGCTCTATGAGGTATTTGCACCGCTCACGTACACACATTCAACCCGCTGCTGACGCATTCATCATGTATGTCTGAGGATGTATGGGAGTGTTCCCGCTGAGCTGTCATATGTTCTTTTTCATCATCTCTGTGCCTGCGGATGTTCCGCGCATGCGATCGACTCCGACTTGCTTTCGTCTTCGGCGCGATGGGTTGCGACGTTTCGTGATCGGCCCTCCAGCGCACCAGCGCGCTCGAGATGAGCCAGCGGATACCAGATGTTGGAGCAGGCGGCGTTTGCTATTTCCTCTTCAAGCTCCACCCTCGCCGTCCGACTGCGTCTTCCTAGAATATCCCCGAACCAGCCTTTGCAAGGATGTTCGTGGTTCGATTTGTTCGGTTGTGATGATGATGATGATGATGATGATGATGATGATGCTGATGGTGGTGGTGATGCTATTAATGATGAGAGTGATGATGGTGCTGATGATGATGATGGTGATGATGATGATGACGCTAATGGTGATGCTGATGAGGATACTGACTATTATATTGGTAATGGTGATGTCTGTTGGTGGTGGTAATAACACTAGTGATGCTGCAGCTGATGCTTTTGTTGCTGATGATGTCGCTGATGATGATGATGCTGATGATGCTGATGACGATGATGATGATGCTGATGATGATGATGACGATGATGGTAGTGGTGTTGCTGGCGACTGTGACGACTGTGATGGTGCTAGTGATGGTGATGGTGGTGGTGTTGGTGATGATGAGGAGAATGATGATGCTACTGCTGATGATGATGGCGACGACGATGATGCTGGTGATGACGATGACGGTGATAAGTTTGTCGACGGTGATTATTCTGATGATGGGGATGCTTACTATTATGATGATGCTGATGATGATGTTGATGCTGGTGCTGGTGCTGCTGATGGTAATGATGATGATGTCAATCATGAGGCTGCTGATGTTGATTATGATGGTGGTGGTGTCGGCGTTGGTGATGACGATGATGCTGGTCATGATGACGCCGATGACGATGGCTATGATGCTGCTGCTGATGATGGTGATGATGACCATGCCAGTGCGGATGATGGTGATGATGACGACGACGATGATGCTGATGCTGATGATGCTGATGATGCTGATGAGGATGAGGATGAGGATGACGAGGAGGAGTAGGAGGAGAATAACGAGGAGCAGGATGAGGAGGAGGAAGAGGAAGGCCGTCTCACGTGTCACTTCTCGTTTTCGAGGTCTCATGGAACTTGTTTGGGTCGTCTTGGGGCTGTCTTGGCCTCGTATGACGCAGTCTTGGTGGTCCCTTGGAACTCTCTTGGGCCGTCTTGAGGCCCTCTTACACAATCTTAGGGCTCTCTTGGGCCGTCTTGGGACCCTCTTGGCTGTGCGGTGGGTGTCTGGGGTCCGTCGTGGGGCCGTCTTGGACAGTCAGACAGCCTTCGAAGGCCGTCTTTTCCACGGGAGGCCCTTTTTGGCCGTTTTGGGGCAGTCTTGGCTGTTTCTTGGGCCGCCGTGGGACCTCTTCGGCCATCTTGCAACACTCTTGGGGACGTCTTCGGCCGTCACGGGGCCATCGTGGCCGTGAAGGCTTCTTGGGCCGTCTTGACCTGACGGAAGCCCGACAAGACGAGAAAGCGAAATTCGTGCAACGACACTGGAAATCTATGATTTCGGCTTGTTCGGATCTTGTTGGAGGTCCTCTCGGGGCCCTTTTTGGGCCCTCTTGGAAGCATCTCATGCCGTCGTGAGGCCATAATGGGCCGCTTTGGGGCCATCGTGGGCCTTCTTCGAAGCATCATGTGCCATCTTGGTGTACTTGGTTGCCTGCATGGGCCGTCGACTCGGATTCATTGGCTTTGACAAAGGATCCTGTCCTCGGGAGCTCGGATGCATGTTTTTTTCTGCGAGAGATCGTGGCCTCGGGAGGAGGACTGGTGCATGCGGGGAACGCGGGTAGGGTGCGTGCGTGTGCCCCTTACTAGAAGACAGAAGCCCTACCAGACAGCCTTTTGCCAAATTCAACGCCCCAACGTGCACAAGGCACGGTGGTGGCTTCCGCTGCGTTCGGGCAGAATTGCTTTGCATCTCACCTCTGTGCAGGCTGCATCGCGACAGTCCAGTGAAATGGGGACCTGCAGGGGGCGCCACTCATAGTCCATTAGAGTGGGCAGGTCTATGGGACAGACACTCTATGACAGGGCGAGCGCATTGAGTGACTCGCCGCCATGGGACGCACATCAACAATGATTTGTCTCTGACTGGTTTCCCTGTGCACGAGTGGTCTGAGCAGTTTCCGAGCAGCTCCTGGTCTCCCTGCTGCTCTTTGCTTCGCAACCGCCCTGGCTTCAAGCTATTCCTGGGGCCCCGGGCGGATGGGCCTCCCGTGGCTCGCGGCGGGACCGTGGGCAGCCTCGGTCGCGACCGCGTGGCTGACGCAGTGCCCGGCGTGCCCTGGGGCTCGGGTCACCTGCGGCAGTTGCCCCGCCTGCCCCGCGGCGCCGGCGGTCACCTGCGGGACCTGCCCGAGCTGCCCGGCGGGGGGCCGGGCTGGTGGCCGGTGTGCGCCGCCCTGGTCACGGGCCTTTTTCTCGGCGGCGGCGGGCGCGCGGTGCTGCGCGCAGTGGGCTGGATCGCCGGGCTGGCGGTTGGCCTGGCGGTGCCTCGACCCGCCACGGGCGAGGTCGACCTCGACGGGGACGACGTCCAGGCGGGGGTACCGGGGGCGCGGGCCCGCTTCCGCGCCGTGCGGGCCTGAGGGCCTGATGTGGGATGGCGGCGCGGCGCAGCGCACACTCTCGATGTGCCGGAAGCTCAGGTGTGCATCAACTTCGACGACGACAACTTCGGGTGGCACCACCGCCTCGCGCCGGACGGGGAGGTGCTCGTGCTCGACCTCAGCGGGCACCTCGTCGTGGTGTTGCGGCGCGACGCGGCCTTCCCGCCTGGGCGCGCGGGCAGGTGTACGCGTTCGGGGACACCGATGCCGAGGACATCGAGGCGCTGCGGTTCGACGCTCGGGCCCTGGCTCTCGTGATGGGCGTGCCTTCGCCGCCCGCCGCGCCGGGCGCGGTGATTCCGCGCTGGATCGTCTCGGACCCTGGGTCGCCCGACTTCGGCAAGGAGCTCGACGTCCACATCGTCGGGAGGCTGCTCTTCGGGGACGCCGTGGGGATCGCGCTGCTCAGCGAAGAGGAGGGGTGGGTCTCCGTGGAGAATGTCCAGGAGCGCGACGAGGAGGCCTGGCTCGCCGAGAAGCGTCGAGGCCCAGGTCGCGACCCGCGGATCTCGCCGCTGTCGCGTCGGACGCCAGGCCAGCCGGTCATGCTGCCCGAGGCGCTCGCGAGGATGAGCTCGATCGACATCGAGGACTGGCCCTTCCGCGGGCCCAAGGCCCTCCCCGAGCAGCTCGCCGCCGTGCTCGCCACGGGCCTCACGCTCACCTCCTACTGGGGTTTCTGGGTGTCGGAGTCAGGGGTCTCGCGGAGCGCGGGGGTGGCCTTGGAGATGCGCCGCCTGTTGAACGTGCTGCGCCATAGGGTCACCCACGACCTCCTCGACGCCTCGAACCTGGCGTCGTTCGAGCTGCTGGGGCGGAGGGCCCTCCAGATCCAACGGGCGGTGAAGCGGTGCCCGCGGCGCCCCAGCTTCGAGGGTCTTGGCTTGGCGCTGAGCAGCTCGCTGGGCGAGAGCGGGGGCGCGGCGGCGTCTCGACCCGACGCCTTCGTGGCCGAGGAGCAGAAGGCGCAGGGGATCATCTTGGAGCAGGAGAGGCTGTTCAGGGAGGAGCAGCAGTCCGACGCAAAGAAGTGCGAGAGGTTCGGCGACGAGAAGCCGCTGACGAAGCCGACGCCAGAGGAGAAGGCGAAGGCACAGGCGGGCTCCAAGGATCAGACTTGCCGGCGCCATGGTGGCGCCGATGTGGCTGGGCGCGCCGCCTTGCCCCCCCTTGCCGAGCTTGGGCGCCGCGGCTGTGGACGCGCGCCTGGCGCGGCATCCCTCCGAGGCAGGACTTCGCCCGCAGTTTTGTTTCCTCTGCCGCGGAGCGACGGGTTCTACCGCCACCCCCGGCGGGGGGAACGCGCCGCTTTACCTCGGCGCCTGGCTCGACGCGCTGCTGATGCTGACACTCGCGATCACCGGTCTCTGGAGGCCATGGGGGCGCTCTACGCTTCGGCGGCCGCGCGAGCTGGACGGCGCCTCGACCCTCGAGCGCCCGGCAAGCAGGGGCCGACTACCGCCCAGGAGTCGGGCCCGACGTCGCGTTCGCAGTTTTGGGGGCCGCCCGGTGGACATGGACTCCCCGAAGCAGTTGCGAGGCCTTGCGCCTCGCCATGTTTCTGGGGTCCTCGACAACGCCGACCCGGGCGTAGCGCGGCCCAGGGCCCATATTCCTCAGGACCAGGAGATCGTCGAGCCGCGTTGGGGCCCCCTCCTCAACCCGTGCGACCGGCGGAGCCGCTCCAGGCTCATCGACTTCTTGCGGCGCCTGGCTGAGCGCGGGCCGGTTGATGGACGTCGGCGGCGGAAGGCCTGCGTCAGCGCGTTCTTCGTCGCCAGGAAGAACGGCGACATCCGCATGGTCGTGGGCGCCCGACTGCTGAACCAGCTGCACAAGCTCCCGCCTAGGGCGGTGCTGGCCTCAGGAGAGGCTCTGGGGTCGATCAACTTGCTGGACGCCGCCGACGCCTCCCCCCAGGACCTCGCCGACTTCGACGGCTGCTTCGGGTCCCTCTGCGCGGGCTCGGTCGACCTCATGGGCGGCTTCTACCAGTTCGCCGACCCCATCTTGTGGGGGCTGGACGCGCTTCGACGTCGAGGTCACCGCGGACGAGATCGGCCTCGATTCGATATTTGACGAGATGCTGGGTCGGCGCGTGGCTGTGGCGTCGGACCAAGTCATCTGGCCTTGCTGCGCGGCGCTGCCGATGGGCTGGAGCTGGGCGCTCTGGATCTGCCGCGAGGTGCTCGTCGACGCGATGGGCGCGGCGGGGCTCCAGGGCGACGGCTGGTGTCTTGATGGGGCCAGGGCCCCGGCGCTCGTCGGGCGCTCGGTCGCCAGGGCCCCATGCGTTGACCATGGGAACCTGGTCTCGCTCAGCGGAGCGGCGATCGACGACCGTCTGGACAAGCTCACCGCCGAGCTGGACAGGCGGGGCCTGCGCCGGCGCGAGCTGGAGAGGACGGCCGCGAGGGGCGGCTCCGAAGCACTGCGAAGCGGGCCTGGCGGCCCTACCTGGCGCTGCACCACGTCCTACGCGAGCCGTGGCTGGTTCGGTGGCAGCTGCGACGCATCGTCGGGCACATCGCGCGCTACTTCTCGGTCTTGCGGCCGGGCCTCAGCGCGCTGGGGGCCTGCTGCGCGCGCATCGCGAGTGGCGACCTGGTCGAGGTGGGGCTCCTGCCGCGCGGCGTGTTAGGCGTGCTCGCCGCCGCGGCCAGGCTGGTCTTTCTTGGCGAGGTCGATCTGTGCAGGGTGCCGTCGGACATCGCCTTCGCGACCGACAGCTCGACGCGGGGCTGCGCCGTCTGCGAGGCGCGCTTGGGGCCGCGGGGGGTCCTCGCCGCCATCCGCTGGCGGGAGCGGCAGCGCTCCGTCGCCTCCGAGGTGGAGATCGCCTCCGACGACGAGCTGCGCGAGGGCCATGCTGCAGGGCTCAGCGATCCTTCGGATCCGTTGCCTGCGGCCACCCCGCCGCGCCATCGGCGCGCGGTGGCTCGGCGGCGCCGCGTCGAGCTCGAGATCGGCGCCTCGCTGGAGCCGCTGGCAGAGGCGCTGCTGGACCCGAGTCGCTGGGCGGAGCGGCGCCGCGGCGCTTGGCGGTGTCCAGGGCGGATCCACGCGTTGGAGGCCCGAGCCGCGGTCGCCCCGCTGTGGCGCGCGGGGGGCGACGTCGCGTTCCACGAAGCGGAGGTCCTCAGCCTGTGCGACAACATGTCGTCGGTCCCCGCTTTCGAGAAGGACAGGGCCACCAACTTCGAGCGGCTCGCCCAGCGTCGGCAGGCTGCGGCGATTTGCCTGGGCGAGATCCGCTGGCGGCCCAGGCGCGCGCCAGGCAGCTGCTCCGCGGGCCCAACATAGCGAGGGCCGAGTTCCAGCGGCCAGAAAACCTACAGATTCGTGATGATCAGGCAGCTTCTTCGTCTCATTCATTGTGCGTTCCTAGTCCTCATCATTTTTATTCATGCCAAGTTGGGTCGTCAATCGCGATGGAGCTTCTCAGACAGTCAGTACTGAACAGCAGCAGCAGCACGTCCGTCTTAGAGCACGCGAAGTCCTCCAGGGGCCCCATTAGGCCTCACATTATGTTCGTCTTACACAGGGGGCTGTACGTGTACCTCGAGGGGATCCCGTTGGAGCTCGCGCACAACCGGGTGATCGTCTTGTGCGGGGCCTTCCTCAAGGGCCTCAACCTCGCGGTGGTATTCAGGCTGGGCCGTCTCGGAAGGCGTTCTTGGAGCTCTTCGCGTGGGCAGCCGACCTCACTGGAGCCCTTCGTGAGAGAGGACTGCGAGTGTTGCCCCCTATGGACAAGATGGGGCCCCACTGTGACCGCCAACCCGCGCGTCCAGTGCCCAGTGCTGCACTGGCTCGAGAGTGGGGAGGTCTGGTGGCTTAACCTGGGCCCCCCCTGCGCGCGCTGGGCCCGCGTCTGCGGCAACCGGGATCCGTCGCCGGTGGATCGCGTGCTCGTCTCCTTCTCCGTCCGGGCGCTGCGGCCGCGCAGGCGGCGCGGGATCTTCGCGACCTTCGAGAGCCCGCCAGCCAGCCGAGCGCGGCGCGGGCCAGCGCTGGAGCGCGAGCTGCGGCACCTCGCGCGGCCGAAGGTGCTCTTCGACTCCTGCAGGTTCGGGGCCCCGTTCAAGAAGCCCGGGGCCATCGATGGCAGCTTGCCGGGCCTGGGAGCCCCGTCGCTGCGGCGCTGCTGTGCCCCGAGGCATCGAGTCGAGCTGCAGGGCAAAGTGCCGCGCGCAACGCGCGGGCGGGTCTGGGGGGCAACCCTCGCAGGCGCCTGCCTTCCCAGCTGGCGCCGGCTGCTGGCGTCGCTCGCTGGGCCCGATGCGCTGCGCGGGGCCTTCGGCCGATCGACCAAGGGCGAGCTCCAGGGCAGAGAGCCCAGGGGCGTGGCGGCGCCGATCTGCCCTCGGCGCGCTCGGCTCCCCTGGCGGCCAGGATGGGCCTCGGCGCTCGACCCGCGGCCGCGTCAGCGCCGAGCCGACGCGCGCCCCATCGCGGGCGCTGCCCTCCAGCTGGGCCCATCGGCGGGGCCCTAAGGACGGCGGCAGCCGCAGTGGCGCCACCGCTGGCCAGGCTCGCGAGTCCGACGGGCGGCTCGCCCCGGCGCCTAGGCCGCTGGCCAAGGCAGAGAGGCGAAGGCGGGCGGGCGCTGCCGCTTGCGGCGACGCGGCAGCATTCCAGCGCGAGGCCGGTCCTGGCGACTATACCTGAGGCTGGCCAGCCTCCGCCCTGCGACGTGGCCGAGCTATCTGATTTTGCGCGGCGCCGAGGGCTCTCGCTCGACGCGCTGACCGACGCCGACGCCGCCCTCAACCTATACTTCGAAGAGCTGTTCTTTGCGGGCGAGCCGCAATACATGGGGCACATGGCCTCGCATGGCCTACGCAAGCAGCGGGGCTGGTCGGCAGCGAGGCCTAACTTTCAAGGAGCCAAGGATGCGCTGGCGGGCTGGCCCGCTAAGCTTCCACCGTGTCTCAGGGGCCCGCCGCCGTTCGAGGCCGCCCTGCTGACTTGCGCCGTCTGGGACAACGGCGCATCTTCCGACCTCCTGGCGGCGCTGGGTTCGCTGGCGCAGTTCGATATGTATTTCAGGCCTGGCGAGCTGCTGGCGATCAAGCCTACTCATGTGTTTGACAGCCGCTGCTCTGGCCCGTCAGCCGACATCACGGTCGCGGCGGCCCCGCTCGGCGACGGGGGGCCAGCCGAGAACGGAGATTTCGACTGCGCCGTGAAGGCCGGCACCGACTTGCCCGCCCGCCGCCTGGTGCCCGAGATTTTGTCGCGCCCCAGAGCCCGTGCCCGCGTGTGCTTTTTCCCCGCTCTCTCGGCTCATCTTTTACTTGCGCAGTATGAGAAATCGCTGAAGTCAGCGGCGGTGGCCGCCGGGGTCGTCCAGCCCCTGTCGGTCCCTCATCAGTTGCGTCGCGGTGGCCTGTCGCATGATGCCTTATGTAATGCGTGGCCCATCGAGGCCATCCATGCTCGAGGCCGCTGGCGCGCCCCAGAGAGTGTGAGGATTTACGAAAAGCATGGCTCAGCACTTCGGCAGCGGTCGAAGCTCTCCGACTCTCAATTGCAGTCGGCCGCTCAACTTACCGAGGCCGCAGCCAGAGGCATTCTCCGTTGGGCGCGTGCCCGATCTGTCTGTGGGGCTCGCCGGGATTCCTTCAGTGCTCCGGGGTTCCCTGTAGTCTTTCGTTGTCTGTCATTTCTTTTTTCCCGCCCGCCCTCCCCAGGACATCGGAGCATGGGGGTGGGGCTGAAGATTTCAACTGCGTGGCATCTTGTAGTGATTTAGGCACTCCGGGCCGGTTTGCGGCTCTCACTATTTTGAGAATCATCCGTGGGATGTCGTCCATGGCGCTTGCCTCGCAGTGGAAAAATTTGGCAATTCAATGCTGTGAATCCTATGCGCTGTCGCGCGGTTCCGACCCCCTGGGGGTGACCGCGCTTGTAACGTAGGAATGATTTGTCTCTGGCTGGTTTTCCTGTGCACGAGTGGTTTCAGCAGTTTCCGAGCAGTTTCTGGTCTACCTGCTGCTCTCTGCTTCGCAACCGCCCCGGTTTCAAGCTACCCTCCCGCCGCCCCCACATGCCTGAAGATTTCAATTGTGTGGCATCTTGTGGTAATTTAGGCACTTCGGGCGGGTGCCCTCACTATTTTGAAAATCATCCATGGGATGTCGTACATGGCGCTTGCGTCGCATGGGCAAATTTGGGCAATTGAACGCTGTGAATCCTATGCGCTATCGCGCGGTTCCGACCCCCTCGGGGTGACCACGCCCGTAACGTAGGAACGTGCATATCAATCTCGCAGGCCACGTGCAGGCTGCGGGCTTCGGTTGCGCTGGCTTGAATAAGGTTTTGTGTCAATTTGACGGCCTGGTCGGAGTTGTGTGACAGCATCGTGGCGTCGATGTTTGGTTACGACCTTTTCAGCGTCGCAGCTAGAATCAAATACGACCGATCGTATAATCATTAAGTGTTATAGGCAGAATTGCCCTAAGCAGGATTGACTGGAGCGGTTGGCTGGGGTGCTTGGCCGAGGTTGGCCAGGGTTGACCAGGAGTTGGCTGGGGTTGGCGGGAGGATGTGTTTCAGTGACGATTCGATCGTTGTTGCTAAGGCCTTACGGCCGGTGCCGCCGACCCTGGAGGCTTCGGCCATCGACGGAAATGGGAGGGAGAGGGCGGGCCATGGGCACCCCCTCTTCGTGGGGAACAGATCAAATAGAAAGGGCTTCCCTACGAGTAGCTACGACGTTGCTCAGATTGGCTTCCCCCCCGTGTCCGGGGGGGAGCAGATTGGCGTTTTCCCCGGGTCGCGGCCGCTCCCCTCCGCGTCGCGGCCGCTCCCCTCCCCCGAAGGGAGCCGCCGGGGTGCCCCCCCCCCGGCCCGCGCATCCGTGTGCGCCCCTCCCCCCCGCCCCTCCCGCCCCCCCCCCTCGGGGGGAAGGGATCAAAGGGAAGGAGCTTCCCGTCGAGTAAGCTCCGACGTTGCTCTGATTGGCTTCCCCCCCGTGTCCGGGGGGGAGCAGATTGGCTTCCCCCCCGGGTCGCGGCCGCTCCTTTCCGCGTAGCGGCCGCCCCCCCCCCCCCCCGAGGGTAGCCGCCCGGGTGCCCCCCCTCCCCGAGTATTCTGGTGCGACCCCCTCCCGCCCACCCCCCTCCTTTCGGGGGGAAGGGATCAAAGGGAAGGGGTTTCCCTTCGAGTAAGCTACGACGTTGCTCAGATTGGCCCCCCCCCCGCGGGCCAGGGGGGCAGATTGGCTTCCCCCCGGGTCGCGGCCGCTCCCCTCCGCGTCGCGGCCGCTCCCCTCCCCCGAAGGGAGCCGCTTGGGAGCCCCCCCCCCCGCATCCGGGTGCGCCCCCGCCCCCCCCCCCACCCCTTCCGACCCCCCCCCCTCGGGGGGAACAGATCAAAAGGGAAAGGGTTTCCCGTCGAGTAAGCTCCGACGTTGCTCAGATTGTCTTCCCCCTGTGTCCGGAGGGGAGCAGATTGGCTTCCCCGCCCGGGTCGCGGGCGGCCGATCCTCTCCGCGTAGCGGCCGCTCCCCTCCCCCGAAGGGAGCCGCCCAGGTGCCACCCCCGCGTATCCGGGCGTGACCTCCCCCCCCCTCTCGGGGGGAAGGGATTAAAGGGAAGTGGTTGCCCTTCGAGCGGGTCCCCCTTCGCCCGAGGAGAGTCGACCACTCCCCCTCTTGGAGCCGACGTGGCGTTGTCGTGGTCAGCTCCCCTCCCCCGAGGGGAGCCGACCACCCCTCTTGGAGCCGACGTGACGATCTCGTGGGCGACGACGACCCACGCAAGATGACGAGACCAGGATACGTCTTCCACACGCCGACAGGGTCGGCGGATCTCTTTCCATCGACAATACTGTAAGTGGTCACGCTCCGATGCTTGTGCTACCATTATTGATGTCACGTGGCGATGCACATTTGTAGCTTCGCCTCCACTCATGATCGGGTTCCGTGTCGCCAAATGTTGGGATCAAGAGTTTGTTGCTATGCTATTTGTGTCTATCCGATTTTCAGTATCTGCCGCCCCCCCGTCTGACAGTGGAACTTCCATGAAGCTGCCGCTGGATCACCACTGGCAACAGCTACCTGCGGCTTCTTCGAGGCCAGCGTGAAGGGGACCGGCGCGGGGATCGGCAGGCAAGGCCAATGGGTCACGTTAGCATGCGAGCGAGCTCCGCGAGTGAGACAATCCCAGGGTGGGTGTTAGTCCTCTTTGAGAATCAGTTCGAAAACCATTGCGGGGTGCGCTGCGGTCCCTCTAGACGACGAGGACGAGGGGGGGTCGACGTGACCCCAAGAGCCCCCAAAGATGCCCCCAGAGGCC